AGAAAGCTGGAAAACCACTTCTTAATTCTTGGAAGAATGACAAGAAAGTAAACTTTAAATTATATTCTCTACATCAGAAAGTAGAGATGCAGACAAATAAAACCACACCACTGCAACGGAAAAAAAATAAACATTTCCAGGTTCATGCCTTTTAAGTAGTCAATTAAGTTTTACAAATACTAATTGTTAATTAAGCTATCAATCATGAGGCCCATATAGATGCTCTTTATAAATGTATCAAATGCAGTAAATAGAAAAACAAGATTCAATAGTGCCAGCCTGAAATAGAAGAGGAAAGGAAACATCTGACAAAAACCATTCATAACATAAAGCAAGATACACTTCTGCAATAACTGGTTGTATTACTGCTTTAAACAGATTCAAAGCAAGTCCATAATTTCTTCATTGGTTCTCCAGTACATTGGTGATTTAGCCTGCTAACCTTTTCTATAGCAAAACAAGTCAAAAACGGAACAGAATATCCAATTCTATTTTTACTTGATTTGCTATAGAAGACTAAAGGGCTAAATCATCAATATTTAAACTGATGTAATTTTGGAGAGAGAAGCAGACGTTCTCTCAACTTCAAAAGCTCATCTTTTAATTAGAGGAAAAGGCTTAAATTGCTTTCCTATGTAGGTCTGGTGAACTTGCCCAAAGGAGTGCAGCTTCTCACTGCCACATGTTAAATGGTGAGAGGGCAACAGAGTGGCTGTGGCAGTAAGGAAGGACAAGAGGCTGCAGGAACTAAATAGTGCAGGTGACTGAACAAAGACACCAGGACAACCAGGTATGCACATGGCAAGTCAGCACTGAGATGTGTCTGAGCAGCACAGCAAGCACAGCAGTCTATCTCTGAAAGTCTTCAAGAGGCAGAAAAGAAGTACAAGCACCATAGCCTACCCATCTGAGAAAATATTTCAGGACATTCCATATCTTGCTGATAAAGGTCAGCTGCGTCCTCCAGTTGTGGAGGCCACGGGCAAGCATGAAGCTGTGGGAGATCTGGAGGTGTTTTTGTACTGCAGCTCCAAATCAAACAAGATGAAAGAAGATGGTAAAATTCCCATTAGAAACCAGGTCCTGGAACAAGGACTACACAGGAAGTCCGAGCAGCTGAGCAAATGCAATGAGAGCACAGACCTGACCCAGCGACGCTGGAGGCAATTCCAAAGATATTTTGAGTGACTGTCACATTACTGCCCACAGTGACCACGTGAAGATGCAGGAGAGCCAGGACAACCTTCAGGGAACTGTAACTTCTGCTCATTTATTTTCTAGACTTAATACATAAACCTCACTCTACCACATGAACAGCTTCAGGGCACAGAAGCTCAAGGGAAGCAATGAGGGAAGAGAGCGCTAATTTGCACTAGTTTGGTGGTCGTTGAGGGAGGAACAAGTTGAAAAGTGTTCAATTTGACTGTAGTATTTGCTTGAAGTGTTTAAATGAAGGAAAAAAAGTATGAAAAAATGTAATAATAAAATATGGGAGGCAAGACTTCTTTGCAGTAACCTGCAAGAAAAAAACTCATTGCTTCAACTTAAAAACATTCTGCCTTGAACATTACTATAAAACCATTAAAGACTCGTCAAGAAGTTAGGTGCAAGTGTATTTTAGTCACACAGTATATTATATAACTTGGGCAAAATCAGCAGCTGTGCCACTCTTTAGAAAGTATTTCAGTTAGTGGCTATTTGACCATACAAAGTGTGTTACATAACTGCTTATTTCTGGAGCGAGAAACCATAGAGAACCATTATATACTTGTGGTTTGAATGGGAGAACAGAAGGGTGGTAATTTCCTAGGATTTTTTATTACTTCAGTTTTCATTTACTTTCAGAAATTCCTCTTCTCAGCTATATATAATCAGTCTGCAAGTCTGTAGTCATCTCTTCCTCTCCTCAAATCATCTTAAGCACTATTTGTATTAGTCCTGGGAACAGCACTTCTGGTGTTTCCAAAAGCGATCAGGACACTATTGCAGCCTAATACTCATGCAGCTGCATGAGCTAATAAGGGTCACAGATGTAAATAACACAGCAAACATACGCAGTCAAACACATTAAACTATTTCCAACAAACAAAGCGTGGAACATTCGCTCAATGTTATTTGAAAGGAACCTGGACAAAGGGATTTTGTCTATGTGTGGCACACTGGACTAAGCTTAAAAGGCAAGAATGCCTCTGAAGAAGGAAAACATGAGGGGTTATGGATGTTGAGAGGTTTAGGGATAGAAGGTGCTGGACCATAGGGCAACCTGAGCTCTGGGAAAAGTTAGGGAAAGAGGGCTTTCTGAGTCACTCAGACGTAGTGGAGAGGAACATTCTTGCTGCTCCTACGCACTCTTCTCAGCTCCATCCTCTCTTACTCACAGCTGCACATGCTGCAAAATTATTTCCTAGCAACTTTCTAGACTGACAAAGATGAAATGGATGGAACTTGAAAAACACTAATCTAAATATGACCTTACTGTAAGCTTGTTCCAATTGCATTGCTTTGGCCAAACAGCAAGATCAAAATCAGATCATCTCCACCTAGCAACACTTAGGTCTCTTGGCATTAAAGTCAGCTGTTCACAAAAACTTGCTTGATTCACCAAAATGTAACCAATTCCTCCATTTTGATGGTATCATTTCTGTGGGAGGTTTTTGGTTTTGTTTTCTTTGAAGCAGTGAAAAGACATCAAGATTCCCAAACTACACAATGATCCAAAAGGCTCTTGAAAAAGTCATTCCTCTTTATGTGTGTAAGGCCAATTTGAGCTGTTACCCAGTAACTTCCTTTTGCCTAGTTTGACTTTACATTTCCAAATACCTCCCCCTACCAGTTCTTTCTCATTAGCAGCCTTTTGGGGAAGGTTTCATCCTCTTTGTACGGAGCACCATAAAATTTGGCTTTAGCCCCTCCAGATGTATCCAGATCCCTCTAGTTCGTCTTATACACCAGCACTGCTTTGACAACTGCTTCTACACTCATGAGACACAAGTTTTCTGCATCATTATTAATAAATCTCCTGCACCTAATCCCAGTATAGGAGCAGCTTACTACTTCCTCAGAGGACTCCACTGACAACATAAGTAAAGCCAAACAACTTAGTTTTATTCACAAAAGCAAGAAAAAAAACCCACACTACTGAAAATCACTTGTTACCCACCAGTATTCCAAGTTTGGAATTTAAACTTATTTAAGCCCTTCCCTCATTTTCCCCAAACTTCTTGTTCATGGATGAGTCAAAGGCCCAGATATTCCACCTTACTCATTTACAAAGCAGAAACCCTGACAAGCTCTGTCCTAAGTTCAAAGTCCTTATCTATCCTCTTATTAACCACAACTCTGCTGAGCAAAACCTCTAACTAGGATCACAGAATCACAGAATTGTAGGGGTTGGAAGGGACCTCCAGGGATCATCGTGTCCAACCCCCCTGCCAAATGGATGGAGGTTTTTGCTCTCTAGTCATACCTTATCTCAAATCATTACGTTGAAGATTCTAAATTTTGCTTTTATGGACTTGTTATCATGCTATCTTTGTTAATTAACAAATCATCTCTCACAGGTCTGCTTCCAAAGATATCAGCTTTGGCATCTACTCGACTCCATCCACATTTATGAAGCCTTGCAACACCACATTCCACGTGCCATTTCTGCATTAGTCTGGGTGAGCAATCCTTGAATGCTTCTCTACACAGGCAAGACATACACTTCCCTGTTCATTCTACCAGGAAGATTCACAAGCTCATTGTTTATATTATGAAATCTCACCTTTCATAGAGCATCACAAAATGCCTGAAGCACAAGTTTTGCTGTATTTCAAAAGAGTAGAGGATTCTTGCCATAGACGACATGCAACAATCCCACATTAATTCAGATTTCATACGTCCCTTCTCCTGGCATCTAAAGGCAGCACTTTCTGCCAGCTTTTTTTTCTGGCATTGCCTCTTCAGGGATGACATATGGGACAATTTTCTTCCATCTGCTGGCAGCAGGGATCCTATAATTTGTTGTTGTGCTACTTTTTACAATAAGCAATTTTGCACCTTTATCACATACTGTACTGTTTGATGGCACATCAAGTATGCCTTTTCATCAGCAGTGCCTGCCTTCCTAAATATGCAAGATGCTTGTAAACGCCAAAACAGACACCATCATAAATGCAAGTCCCAAGGTCAGCATCCCTCTCCCACCAAAAGGCAGATCTGGATATTTAATTGTTCATATAGCAAGCAATGATAGCTTTCAATTGACTTCCCACTATTTAAAGCTGTAAGCAAGTTCCTGGTTCTTTTATTCTCATCATACCATGCAGAGAACGGTCATTCCTTCATTCTGCCTTTCACAGATTTCATAATGTTATTTACTTCAAAGGAACCTTTTTCAGTAGTTTGAACGAATATGCATATAACCAGCACTTTTAAGTTAATCTGTTCTGCTTCCACTAAAATCCTTGCAGTATTTGCATTTTTTCCATACCTCAAGGTAACCTTTTTTTTTTATTTTAGTATTACAAATTTCGACAGTCTCGCACTCAAACTTATATTTTCCCAATTAAAATAACCTTTTCTTACTGCAAATTCGCTTACATGAAGGATAACCTCAAACAGAGGTAACAAAACTGGCAGTAACACGATATAAGCATATGCCAAAACTTGTGCAAAGTCTTAGGAAAGCATCATAAAAGCTCTAGCACCTCCTATGATTGAACGTTTGATTACTCATAGGAACAGACCAGTCAGTACCTCATTCTATTTGTTGAGTTGAAGGGAGGCATTTTTAAATTCTCAGTCTTTTCATGACACTTTTGGTGTTTGTACAGTGCACATAATAACAGGCTTTCAAGTCTAGCTGCAGGCATCACATAAATGGCCCAGTTAGTAAGGGAAGGAAAAGCATGTTAGCATGTGTACTTCTGCACTTTTGTTAAGAATCAGACTTCAGAATTAAAAGGCAACTAACTCATCAGTTGTGCTTAAATATAGTGTATCCAGAGTTGACATACCTGCTCCTTGGAAGAAACATCGATTCTTTAATGAAGACTGAACCAGACAGCAGGATATACCAACAGGTACCAATATCATCAGGGCTGCAATAGAGGAGAGAACAGGGAGTAAGACACTTTGGTGAAGAAACTCTTACCACTACCAAATTTCCAGTAGAAAAGCACATCACAAAGAGCCAAAAATGCTCAAAATTCCAGAGGAAAGCCACAGTTCCATCAATTACAAACCAATTCCAGTTTCCACCTGAAAACACACAGATTATTAGAATATTTTATTGGAATGTCTGATATCACTTATTTCATTGACATAACTACCCATTTAGGAACATCACAAAAATCCAATGAAATACATCTGAAAGTTATCAAAAGGAAGCCATATTCTTATACCAGTAAAAATATGGTATTACATTTTGTTGAATCTGTTACTTTCCTCTAGCTGAAGAGGACCATAACATCTTCCTCTCCATAAATAAGGCCTTCTTTCTCGGTTACAGAAATCTTCTTTTACTTTACTTGAAGGCAGAAATGCACACCTTGGCATCACTCTGCCTTTCCACACAGTAAGAAAGCATGGGACAAACTTGCAGATATAAACCTTCATGAGATCTGTGGTCAACATAATCTGCTGCTAAACTCATTCCCTTTTGCACTTATTCACAGTACGACAATTAATTCCTAATAAAAGGGACAAAGTTTATTTTCCCTCCTCTTATCTATTATAAGAGACCAAATTAAGATTTTGTCATCCAGTTCATTCTACTGTAGATTCAGATCTTGCTTCTTCAGTAATACACATTCTTTCTCATGGGCTTAAAATCTTCTTGGGCAAATTCAAGTAATGCTTAGAGGAAAACAATGTAGTTTCCTAAAGTTACTTGAAACAGCTGCAGTAAAAATCTTGCGCCATTTCATCGTTCCATACTGAAAATATCCTTACGTCACTTGAGTCTTTACCACTCCTACTGCTTCTTCCAAAGCAGCTCATAACAGCATACTTGAATCCAATTAGCAACTGTGCTAGCATTCTTAGCTGAAAATCATGTCTCTAATGACACTCCAAGAGATGCAGATCACTTAATTAATCCACAGCACCTTCATTTTTTTTTAAATTATATATCTCAAGTCTTTAGCAACAATTAGTCCCAACTTCAAGCAAGAACAGCCCACATCCTTTAACAGTGATGACAGCATAGTATTAAGATCCAACCTCAAATCTATGTAGGTTATGTGCAGTTAGCTGCATGTTTTTCATCTGAGGAAACAAGATTTTAAAAAGCACCTGCATGACGGGGTCTCTTAAAGAAGAGTACTATTTCCTCAGCACTCTTTCAAATGGAAAGATGCAGCTACAAGGACTGCTCTGATTACGTCAGCCCACAATGACATCAGCAGATGTTGGGGGCACGGCAATAGAGGTTGAACCTTTTCACCAACATCCCGTTCCAAGCTGTTGCCATGTAACAGATAAAAACAGAAGGGCAGTCTGACAGAATGGCATCAGACAGGGAAGTGTGCATGAAGCAAAGACGTCTCACCAAATTCCTCCATGTGGAAAAAATTGTACCCACTGACATTCATCAATGCTCAGAGACCAAACAGTATCATTTTTTACGAGCATGGCATACAGACTCTTGTTCAGTGCTGGGAAAAATCCTGAGCTAATGGCGATGACTGTCTTGAAAAATACTGCTTTGTCACTAAGAATCTGCTCCATCAAATAGTGTTATTGTGCTCTATCTGCTGCTTTTTCCAAGCAAATAAATAGGAGGCATTACGTCCAGAGCAAGCCATGTAGAGAGAGAGGGAGCTGGCCTAAAAGAGCTGAGATCAAAACGCCAAACTATACAATTTAGGAAACTGTTTTGTTCTTATTTTACACTGTGTAATACATCCTCAAGAAAAAGAACAAGCATCAGAAACGCGAAGAATTAACAGCAGAAATTGAGAAAGTTATCTATGATCAAAAACTCCAGAACTGATCATAGAATGGCCTGGGTTGAAAAGGACCTCAAAGATCATCTAGTTTCAACCCCCTGCTATGTGCAGGGTCAGCAACCAGCAGCCCAGGCTGCCCAGAGCCACATCCAGCCTGGCCTTGAATGCCTGCAGGGATGGGGCATCCACGGCCTCCTTGGGCAACCTGTGCCAGTGCCTCACCTCCTCTGGCCCCGCTCCCAGAGCTCCACGTCCTTCCTGTGCTGGGGCCCCAGGCCTGGACGCAGCGCTGCAGATGGGGCCTCACAAGAGCCGAGCAGAGGGGGACGATCACCTCCCTCTCCTGCTGGCCGCCCCTTTTCCATGCAGCCCACAACACAGCTGGCCTTCCGGGCTGCAGGCGCACACTGCTGCCTCATGGCCAGCTTCTCGTCCACCACGACCCCAAGTCCTTCTGCGCAGGGCTGCTCTCAAGGAGATCTTCCCCCAGTCTGTATCAATACCTGGGGTTGCCCCGACCCAATGCAGCACCCTGCACTTGGCCTCGTCGAACCTCATTAGGTTCACATGGCCACTTCTCCATCCTGCCCAGGTCCCTCTGGATGCTTCCCTTCCCTCCAATGCATCGACTGCACCGCTCAGCTTGGGGCCATCTGCAAACTTGCTGAGGCTGCACTCGATGCCATCATCTGTCATTGATGAAGATGCTGAAGAGCACCGGTCCCAAGACCGACCCCTGAGGGACACCTCCACCCTAACACAGAACCATTGATCACAGCCCTTTGGCTGCATCCAGCCAGCCAATTCCTAATCCATCCAACAAACCATCCTTCAAATCCACACCTCTCCAATTTAGAGGGAAGTATGTGGTGAGGGACCACGTCAAAGGCTTTGTAGAAGTTCAGAAGATGACTTCCACCACCCTACCCCCATCCACTGATGCTGCCACTCCATCATAGAAGGCCACCAGATTGGTCAGGCACAGTCTGCCCTTGGTGAAGCCATGCTGGCTGTCTCGGACCACATCTTTATCTCATGTGTGCCTTAACATAGCTTCCAGCAGGATCTGCTCCATGATCTTCCCAGGCACAGAGGTGAGGCTCACCCGCCCGTAGTTCCCCAGGTCTTCCTTTTTCCTTTTCTTAAAAACAGGAGTAATGTTTCAAGATGTTGAAGCCTGTGTTTTCTATCACCTGATCAGTAAACTGAACACAGATATATGACAAGATTTCTGTAAACATTTTCTACAGTTTCTGTGCTACTCTAAAGTTGTCAATCTTTAACTGCAGTTAAACTCATCTCCTCTTTCTTGCTCTACTTTTCACCTATGCTTGCTTTAGATATAGCTGAATTCTGCTGATATCTTGTGGCCAAGACTCAGTTAGTTGTAACTGCAGTTACCTACGAGGGAATGACATCATGATTTTCAAGTGTGCAAGTACTCATGGCTCAGAGTTTAGTTCCTAAGACAGCTAACATCACTAACATAACCCATGTACCTTCACAACTCTTGATAACCTCCAACTTTGAGTTAAGGGTATACCCAAAGTTAATCTAAATACAAGAATTTGAGAACATTAAGCAAATGCTGGAGGTGGATTTTTTTTTTTTTTTATATGAAGTATTTACCGTTGATGTTGAAAATACAAGCATGCATGAGCTCACTAGAGAAAACTCGTCCTTGGACGTGTTTAAGGCCAGGTTGGACGGGGTCCTGGGCAACCTGATCTGAATGTGTATGTTTGGTGGCCCTGCTAGGCAGGGGGGTTGGAACTACATGATCCTTGGGGTCCCTTCCAACCCGGGTGATCCTGTGATTCTGTGAAAACTACCAGCTCCATGGTGCTATAAGAAATGACTGGAAGCATGACCAAACTTGAAAGCTTTTGGCAACTGAGACACCAGTAGAGGAACACCAGTGCTCCTCTACACACCCTATGCATACCACTCATGAACCTCCCTAGGAATACAACTACATATTCCACCCTGGGTTTGTCCATAAGTACCTAAATAGCATTCAGTTCTATTCATTTATTCAATGCAGAAGATTTGTCAAACACTAAAAGCCTGTTCCGCAGGCCAGTCAAAAATAAGCAGGTAAAACAACTCAGGTGACAACTTCTATGAACCACTCCTAAACAAAGTTAAATATGAGATTCAATCATGAAATGCAATGGAAACCCTGCTAATTGTCTGATCCTGCAAAGTATGCAAGTATCATAGCAAGTCACAGAAGATAACTGCCTCTAATGTAGCAGTACCTTGTTCAATATCAATTCACAGCCAATCAGTTAATTTATTAAAAAAAAAGAAAGAAAAATGGGCATGAAAGCTCTCAGGAAGGCAGTGTTTTGTTGCTGAATTCAAGTGTCTTGCCATCAAGCACATCAGTCCAAGGAAATCAATATTGCACAAAGATGACCAGATTAGCGCAGAGGAAACCTCCACTCCAAAGAGACAGTCATTCTCAAAAGCATAAACATGCACCTCAGTTAAGTCACACCTTCAAACGTACATTCCCTCACAGAAGTTCTAAGTTGGCAGATAAACAGCCAGCATTGCTGCTCAAGTGCAAATCTGCTGTGGTGTTGCCATTTTTAATAGATATTCTATATGCAAACAATCTGCAATTTTCCCCACTCATAATGCAGTGCTGCTAGTATCACTGAAATTGTTGCTGGTGGGATTTTTCAGCTCCTTTTCCTAAAAATTAGCAGTATAACTAAGTGTAAATGTGTAGTCTTACAAGAAAAAAAAATAAGTCGCTTCTGGGATCTCTTTATAGACAGCTAATAGGGATAAGATCGTTCAAGTTTGTTATTACCTGTCTGGTTTTGTTTTCCTTTTGCTTCATCTGTACTTTAGTAACTATTTTTACAGTAATGCTTGAGAACCTCAAAGTTCACCTAAGGCTTTTCTATCACACCATGTAAAACAAAATATACTCCTTAATTATCCAAATAGACACATGTCTCTTCAGTACTGCTGTATCACAACCGGGGAAGGCTACCACAGACAATATGTACATTAAGATATCTTCCTCAAAGATACTGCTCATTCTTTTAAGCATTCATTGCCAGCCAACAAAACATCATAAATATCTCCAAGACAATCTTCACGATCAAAGAACGCTGATGTATTTTCACTCT